GGGGGAAACCAGATGAAGCACATCTGGACAGCTGTGCTGAGAAACTGTGCGGCCCCCTCTTCGCCCGACGTCAGCCCGGCACGTCCCCCACGTCCTCTCCTTCTCGCCACTCATTATTTATTCATTTTCCCAAAGAAGCAACCAGGGACCCAAGTTTGAAACTCTCCCCCCCCCCATGAGAGACGTGGCCAGATTCCATCCAATACTCAGTTTAATTTTCATGGGGCTCTGGGATCCAAAGAACAGAAACAGCAACAACAAAAGCCCAGCCGCTGTCTGATTTTAAACTGGCAAAGTGGGAAAAATAAAGTTTTGAGTAAACAGACCAAGCTGGGTAAGTTTTGAATACGTGCTGGATATCATATTTCTCTTGCTGTGATTCTCTGTCCTGTGTCTTTTTGCTGTTTTCATCAGCCTTCTCTTCATCAAGGGGAGAAAAATATCACTTGCTGCCGCAAACTGGACCCTCCCTCGGCTTCCTTCTCTTCTGCCTCGCTAACAGTTTAATTTTTTAGTTTGGTATTTTTAAAACATTTTTTTGGTCTGCTCTTTAAACATTTCTTGGGAACAGAAATTTGACTGGTATCCTGTTGCAGCCTCTCCTAATTCTCAAGTTGAATGTTCTGATACATTTATTTCTCTGTTTTCTTTCTGTGAGGATACTGTGTACATTTGTAAAGACAAAATCTGTATCCATCCCCCACACCCTGACTGTTTCGATGAAAGGTTGAGAAAATTATTCGGCCTATTCAGAATTAACCCAGTTTTTGCATCTGTGAATAGGATATTTAAGGGAAGTTATTAAAAATCTGAATTATGTAGGCGATTGCTGGATTTTTCATTAAATTTGGATGTAGTTGTAATCCAAATGTATGACTTTTCTATATTCTCCTATCCATAATGGGAAGCCCACATTCTTTTATGATTGTTTTTAAAAACACACACACACACACTAAATGTGTAACAAACCACTTTGTATATCCATAACCTTATAATTGTACGCTAACCTTATAATTCGATCAAAATAGTATTAAAAATGATTGTTACATGTGCATGCTTGCAGATAATTCCAGTATATATTTCAGGATTTAGAAATGAAATGATGAAAAATGTTGAGATAGGTGAGTGGCCTGAGGCCCATTTCATCTGAGACATCTATAATTCCCCCCGTTTAAGCAATGTTTTGGATTTGAGACTTTTGTCGTATGTTATTTCCTGTCTTGGGGGTTTGGCCAGAATGAATCTTTAATTTCTTGTTCAGAAAGTAGTAAGTGGGAATTTCATGCAATAATTATAAGTTGCAGAGTGTGTTTTTGATTCCAAAAGGTAGTGCATACAAGTGGGTGGAACAGCTGAGTGGGTTTCAGGGATACGGCTGAGAAGGCACGGTGTTGCAGAGAAACAATATAAAGAGCCAACGTGACTGGTTCAATTCACAACCCCACAGTTTCAACTTGGGCTGGTTACTCAGCTTAGCTGTGCCTCAGTTTCCTCCTCTGGGGTGAATTTCCTCCTCAGTTTCTTCCTCTGTAATGTGCTAATAATAACAGCACTTACCTCATGGAGTTGACTTGAGGACTGAGTTAACATACGTTAAACACTTAGAATGGTTCTGACCCATAGTAAGACTCTGCTTTTGTACTCATTCTTCCCAGCAACTAGATTCACTGAGTGTTGACCACAGGCACTGTGTGAGGATATAAAGGAAAGAGTCTTGATTGGGGAATGAGGTAGAATTTCAAGTATCTTAGAGAGATCTAGAAAGTTCTGGGAGTGCAGGGGATGGGAAAAGGCCATCTTACTGTAGGATAGCTTCATGGAAAGGTTGGCATTTCTGGGAAAGGATTTTGCCAAACAGTTTGGTTTGCTTATCGAGCAGCAGAATCATTTTAGGAAGAAGGGGATGCAGGCGAAGACACTGTGGCTGGAACGTGTGAAGCTGTCCTGGGGACACTGGCATAACCTGTGGGAGGTGAGTGGGAGGAAAAGTTGGAAAGGTGAGAAAGGTAAGAAGGGACGGCATGAATTACCTGATGGGAAGGAGAGGCCTGGGAACTAGATCAGTGAGGGAGGATGGCAGGCTGAACTGGCAGCAGTAATACAGTAGAGATGTTTCTGGAAAGATCCACCTGTGGGGTCCAGTCTCCCTTCTTTCCCAGCATACTCTCCTCTTCTACTCCATGGCTTCAGTAACCTTTATTCAGGTATCCTGGACGGGCAGAGCTGGGCAGTGAGTCTTGGCCCCCTGTTTTTGACTCATTCTGTGGTGGCCGTCTACTTAAGTGGTCTGGCACTCCACGCCAATAGCTGGTCTTCTTTTTGTTAACAGGCCATGTAGGCCCTAACGTCTTGATAGGGATGAGACTGTTACAACCCTCCTCTGTCCCCCATACACACATACATAGTGGGTGCAGAGTAGCTCTTTGTTATTCTGATAATAGAATACTCTATTCACATTTTAATATTTATAACTTTATAATTTACAATTTTTGAGTAGATAAGACCTGTGCTATGCAACCAAATGGAAGGTTAGTTTGGAGTTCTCTTGCTTTGTCTTCCTTGAGGGCATTGTGCTGTGACAGAGAGCTGTGTCCTGGTACCTCTGCTGTTGACCACCTGTGTGACCTCAGGCAAGACTGAGTCATTATGACCCTCTGGGCCATGATCTGTGAAATGACCTGTGAGGCCCCTTTTCCCTTGAATGATCATTTCTTCTCCTCCCCCCATCTCTGGAACAATATGTTACAGATGGCTATTTGTAACATCTATGACTAATATTTTCTGACCATTTAATACACAGCAGACATTGTTCTGAGGGCTTTACATGTTATGCCATCCTACAGCAGTCCTGTGAAACTTGGTAACTATGTGTGTCCTGTTTTTATAGTTGAGGAGAAAGAAGCACAGGAATGTTAAGAAACTTGCCTAGGGCATAGCGAACACATGGCAGGTTCATACCCAGACAGTCTAACTCCAGAGCCCAAGCCTTAGCCACTAGGTTACATTACCTTAGGTATAACACAGATGTGGCTGCTCTTCTTGTTAGTGGTGATGACAGTCAAGTTCATGAGAGGAAGGTTATTGGGGACAGGTCACATTTAGAGGGATTGAGTTGATAAACTTTGCCTGGAGGGGCCAGAATATCTACATGAGTCTTGTCTGTGATGGGAGACATTTTGCTTGTTTTTTAGATGGATCTCATTGCAGTCAAACACCCTGTCTTTTCATCTTGTTTGAACAAAACTCACCATAGCACTTGATTGTCTAGTAGACCCGCAATAAATGTCTGTTGAATGCCCCCTTTGAAAAGGAAGTTGTGAGCATAGTATTTTTATTAAAAAAAAGTAAATAGAGAAACTGTGAAATGTCCCAAGACTTATGGGAAAATAGGTCAGGTGCCAGGTAAACATTCTACTCCTACTGCTGGGGCATTCCAGTTTCTCATCTTATTTCTGGAGATGCTGTGGTTTTGGGATATGAATTTCTCATGGTGAAGGTCAACATAGAGCTATTTTAGATGTAGAGTTATTCATCACACCCAGCCTGGATTTGACATCATTTCAGTAATTCATTCCTTAAATTTTTTGTGTATTGAATCAACTTAAAAATATTATTTGGGAAATATTTTAATTTGCCTAATTTGTTTTGCCTTAGTGCAGTCACTCATTTCAGTATAGCATAGTGACTAAACACACAGACTTTGGAGTCAGACTATGAAGGTTAAAATCCCAGATATGATTCTTCCTAGCATAAAATTGAGGAAGTCACTTTCTCTAGAAGACTTTATTATCTTTAAACTGGGGATACCAGTAAGCACTACCTGAGAAAACCCATGTAGAGCATTTACCATATTATCTGACTCATAGAAAGCCTGTGTGTGTAAGCAATTCTTTTTTCATTGTGGTAAAAAAAAAAAAACAATATATATATATATATATATATATATATATATATATATTTTATGTTATATTTTATATATAACATAAAATTTACCATTTTAACCATTAAGTATACAGTTCAATGGCATTCAATGGCATTAAGTACATCCATATTGTTATACAACCATCACCACCATCCATCTCCAGAACCTTTTCATCTTCACAAACTAAAACTCCATCCCTGTTAAACAGTAACTCCCCACACTCCTTACCCCTTCAGCCTCTGGAAACCACCATTCTACTTTCTGTCTATGAATTTGACTATTCTAGGTACATATAAGTGAAACTATATAATACATATTCTTTTAGGTTTAGCTTTTTTTCTTTAACAAAATGTCTTCAAGGTTAATCCATGTGTGGCATGTGTCAGGATTTCCTTCATTTTTATGACTGAATAATATTCCATTGTATGTATGTACTATCTTTTGTTTATCTGTTCATCTGTTGGTAAAGGGATTTAGGTTGTTACCATCTGTGATGGTTAATATTATGCATCAACTTGGCTAGGCCACAATGCTGAGATATTTGGCCAGATGTTATTCTAAATGTTTCTGTGAAGGTTTTTTTTTTTTTTTAAATGAGGTTAGCATTTAAATCAGTTGACTTTGAGTATGTCCTCCCTAATGTGAGTGGGCCTCATCTAATCAGTTGAAGGTCTCAGTAGGAAAGGTGGACCTCCATTAAAGTAGAGAGAATTCTTCCTCAAGACTGCCTTTGGATTTAAGACTACAATATCTAGTCTTTCTTAGGCCCTCAGCCTGCCCTGAAGATTTTGGACTCTCAATATTTACCTCTACCTACCTACCTACCTATCTACCTCTCTCTCTCTCTCCATCTATCCTATATCTATAGGTCTATCTATCTATCTATCTATCTATCTATCTATCTAATCATCTGTCATCTCCTATTGGTCCTGTTATTCTGGAGAACTTTGATCTCTGACAAATAAATCATCTTTTGGCCATTTTGAATAATGTTGCTATGAACATTGATGTACAAATATCTACTCAAGCCTACTCTTTCTCTTCTTTCGTGTATATATCCAGGAGTGGAATTGCTAGATAATATGGTAATTCTATTTTCTTTTTTTTTTGAGAGCCCACTCTATTGTTTTCCAAAGCAGCTGCACATTTTATTTTCCATTTTCACCAGCAACACACAAGGGGCCCAGTTCCTCTGCATTATTGCCAACATTTATTTTCTATTCTTTGTATTTAATTTTTAAAATAATAGAAATCCTGATAGGTGGTATCTCCTTGTGGTTTTGATATGGATTTTCCTAATGATCAATGATGTTGAATGTTGTTTCGTGTGGTTATTGGTCGTTTGTAAAGCTTTCACCCATTTTAAAATCAGGTACTTTTGTTGCTGTATGGGAGGAGCTCTTTATATATTC